AGACACCCACACATGCCAGATCCCACTGGTGCCCCTGGTGTCTACCGCAGGCGAGGTCTGGGAGCTGAGTTCAGATGGCAAGGTCTGACTAAAGGGCGATCCTCTCGGGCCCAGGGCCAGGAGTGGGTAAGGCCCCTGTTTCTCAGCTCCTCCTGTGGCTCCCCGCGCCCCTGCAGCAAGCCTCCTGTGCTCTCTGTGGCCCCGGGCCGCTGGGCTGCACCCCTGCCAGCCCCCCAGATTCTCCCCAGGGCTCCTCCCTCTGCTGCTCTGTTCCCTGCACTCCTTCTAATGTCAGGGTCTGTGTGTGGCAGGCAGGCTCTGTTGCCCAGCCAGCCTGCCCCTTGTGGCCCTGCCCACTCCTCCGTGCTCTACTTGAAGTTCAGGTGTGGCTTCCTCCTGGAAGACAGCCCTGGCTCCTTTCCAGGCAAGGTCACGCTGCTTCTCGCCCCCATGCATGGTCCTATCTGAGGGACTCGACAATGGTCACGGAAAATACAAGTTTTGAGAGGAATTATGCATGGGTTTAAAAAGTTGTTTGTGCAAAATAAATTTTTCTTTCAACTCGATTTTCCATAAGTTTTCAGACATACCCTCGTATTTCTTTTAATAACTTTTTAATAATAATATTTATTTGAAAGGCAGAGCAATAGAGAGAAGGAGACAGAGAGAGGTCCTCCATCCACTAGTTCACTCCCTAGATGGCTACAACGGCTGGCCCAGGAAGCCAGGAGCCTGCAGCTAGTGTTCTCCCGGGCTTGCCCAGTGGGTGCGCCGCAGACTTTTGAGAGCCAGGCGGGGCACAGCCGGTCCTATTTCTGGAAGACCCCGCAGAGGTGGGCTTCAGGCTACTTATGTTCAGCCCTTGTGGGCAGTGCTCCGCGGGTCTCCAAGGTCCCCCAGTGCGCATGCTCGAGTCGGCCCCATGCCCTGAACTTTTACTCCGTGCTGGCGGCGCTCGGGGTCCAGTGACTTGGCCCACAGGGGCCTGAGTGGAGCCCCCTCGCTGAGCTTGCTCAGTGCAGGTGGGTCTCTGCCTTGCCAGGGCTCTGTCCCACAGGAGCGGGCTGGCGCCGGGGAGCCTCTCTGGGAGGCCGGCCTGGGCGTGTCTGAGGGGGCGGCCTGAGCCGGGGAGAGTTGGGTTGGCCTTCGGAGGGGCAGAATGAGGGCCAGGGGGAGGCAGGAGGCACCGGCTGCCAGCGGGCGCGGGGGAGCAGAGTTGAAGGTGGCGGACCGGGGGAGTCTCGAGGACTCTGGCCGGGAGGAACGTGGTGGGCGCTCCGGGACCTAGGCTGAGGTAGGCTCCGGCAGGAGAGGCTGGGCCCGGGATGACGGGACAGGCGTGTGTGATTGCGCGTGCGCAGAACCTTGGCGAACAGGCCCTCGTGGTGGGTGCTGGCCCGCAGGACACTGCGGAGCGGACTGGGCTGCAAGTGCCCGCACCGTCTAGTCTGGGTGGCTTTAGGAGAGTGGTTCCATGGGGATGGGCCGCAGGGGCAGAGGGGGCGCTTCGTCCCAGGCTGCCAGAGCCAGAACTGGGGCTTCACTGTAGCCTCTGATGTGGGACCTGTTTTCTGAGGGGGCCCCTAAGCTACCTCTGAAAGCCTTTTTTATTTTTATTTTTATTTTTAAATTTGTCTCACAGGCAGAATGTCAGAGAGAGGAGAGAGAATCTTCCACTTGCTTGTTCACTTCTCAAATGGCTGCAACAGCTGGGCTGGTCCAGGCTGAAGCCAGGAGCCTGGAACTCCATCTAGATCTCCCATGTGGGTAGCAGGGCCCTAAGCTCTTGGGCCCTCTACTGCTGCTTTCCCAGGCCCATTAGCAGGGAGCTGGAAGTGGAGCAGCCAGGACTTGAATGGTACACTCCAATATGGGGTGCTGCCAGTGGGCCTAACCTGCACCATGGTGCCAGCCCGAGGCCTTTCTCGTAGAGGACGCTGGGTGCTCTGAGGCTCGGGGGCTTGCAAAGGCCAGGCCGCGCCGCTGCACAGCATGAGATAGGACAGTGGAGGAGGCCATGCTTTTGGCTGCATCTCAGCGGCGCAGTGCCCGCGGCTGCCCGCCCCTTGATCGGGCCTCTTCCCCCACAGTGGTGGGCTTTTCACAGGAATGCCAACGTCTAGGGCAGCAGTGTGCGGGCAGGGGTGGGGGACCTGGGGCTGGCGGTGGTGAGGCCCATGCAGCGGCACCCCGCAGCTGAAGCTGACTGGTCCCTGTTTCCCCTGGGGCTTCCTGACGGCACAGGCGGGTGCCTGGGCCCTGGGCCTGGGTTTCGGCAGTGCCTCTGGTCAGCCTGGCTTAAGCCACATGGTCCCAGAGTCCCGGGGAATGAGGCGCCGACGGACCGGTGCTTGCTTTCACTTTGAACAACTCAAGGCCAAGTCCCACAAAAGGTATTTCATCATTTTCCCCCCCTTTGGTGGAAAACAAAATTTTTTTTTTAAATTTTAAAGAGTTGGGGAGGCCAGAAGAAGTTGGGGAGGGAGAGAGGTCTTCCATTCTTTGGTTCACTCCCCAAATGGCCACAACGACCAGGGTAGGGCCAGGCTGAAACCAGGAGCTTTCCCTTGGGTCTCCCACGTGGATTCAGGGGCCCAAGCACCTGGGCCATCCTCTGCTGCTTTCACAGATGCACTAGCAGGGAGCTGGATCAGAAGTGGAGCAGCAGGGACTCTAACCGGTGCCCATGTGGCTTAACCGGCTATTCAATAATGCTGGCCCCTTCAATGGATGGTTCACAGCGTGTTTTTGAAATGTAGGACTCAAAACCAGAGCCTTATGGTGGAATAGCTAATAATAGGGAGCACAGAAAGTGTTTAATTTTGTGCTTTCTTAATTTACAAACCAAACCAAACAGAAAAGCCTGCTTTAAAAAATCTCTCTCCCCTTTGCCTCCATCCACTCACTCCTGTCTTCCTGAGTGGGTAGCTTCCTTAGATGTTTCACATAAACATGCACATCAGGGGTATTCAGAAAGTTCATGGAAGGGGCTGGAGTTGTGGTGCGGTGCGCTAAACCACCCCTTGTGACACTGGCATCCCATATGGGAACTAGAACGCCAGCTGCTCCACTTCTGATCCAGCTCCCTAATAATTGGTCTGGGAAAGCAGCAGAAGATGGCCCAAATACTTGGGTCCCTTTGACCCACGTGGGAGATCCGGATGGAGTTCCAGACTCCTGGCTTCAGCCTGGACCAGCCCCATTCTGGCCATTTGGGGAGTGAACCAGTGGATGGAAGATTCTCTGTCTCTCTCTTCTCTCTCTGTCACTTTGCTTTTCAAATAAATATTTAATATAAAAGCTTATGGAAAATGGAATTAAAAGAAGTTTAAGGGGCAGGTGTTGTGGTGTAGCAGTTCAGAATGAGGGAGTCCCGAGCATCAGCGTGAGTGCCTGGCATTGAATCCCGCCTTCGCCTCGGCTTCTGATCCAGCTTCCTGCTGATGCGCCTGGGAGGGCAGCAGATGATGGCCCAGGTACACAGACCTGAACTGAGTTTTGGGCTCCTGGCTTTGGTCTGGCCCACCTCTGGTGGTTGTGGGTAGCTGGGGAGTGAACCAGTAGATAGAAGATTTCTCTCTTTGTCTCTCCCTCTCTCTCTATCTCTTTGCCTTTCCAAATAAAAATAAAGTAAATCCTTTTTTTTTTTTAAAAAAGATGTTTGTTTTGACACAAAATTTTTGTAAAATTTTAAATTTTTCTAAAATGTTCTGAAATTTCTAAAATCTAAAATGTATGATTTTTTGATAACCATTTCATGAACTTTCTGAAGACCTTGTGGGTGTGTGTATGTAGTCTTTCTTTTAATACAAAACATTGACAGCATACGTATCGTGCTGTCCCTTGTTTGTTTTTCACATGGCCATGTTGTCTTGAAGCTCTTTTTCTTATTAACTGAGGGTGTTCTCATCCTTTTGGGACTTCCCAGTATTACGTTATGCCACCGCACCATGATGTATTTAGCTGGTCCCTGTAAATAACCTCTTAGGTATTTTTATTATTATTATTATTTATTTATTTGACAGGTAGAGTTACAGACAGTGAGAGAGAGAGACAGAGAGAAAGGTCTTCCCTCCATTGGTTCACCCCCCAAATGGCTGCTACGGCCGGTGCTGTGCCGATCCAAAGCCAAGAGCCAGGTGCTTCCTCCTGGTCTCCCATGCGGGTGCAGGGCCCAAGCACCTGGGCCATCTTCCCCTGCTATCCCAGGCCACAGCAGAGAGCTGGACTGGAAGAGAAGCAACCGGGACTAGAACCCAGCGCCCCAACCGGGACTAGAACCCGGGGTGCCGGTGCCGCAGGCGGAGGATTAGCCTAGTGAGCCGCAGCGCTGCCCCACCTCTTAGGTATTGTTTCTAGTCTGCTGTAAGAGTCTTAGACATCTCTCACGTCCCACAAGCCCAGCTGTGAATTCAGTTCCCTGAAGGGCAATCACGTGGTTGAAGGCATGTGCCCCATGATTTGGACAGATTTTTGTCACACTGGCCCAGAATGGTGGGAGAGGCCATGTGTCCCCATAGCCTAGTTTCATGGCCTGACCATGTGACGTGATGGGAAATGTTCAGGGCGAGGACATCAGCTCTGAGAAAAGCTCTACCTCCCAGGCAGCTCCTCGGTATAGGAGAGGCAGCAGCGCCTGGTGACTGAGGCTCTGAGTCAACCTGAGCTTGCGTCCTCAGGCTATCCCCTTGTCCCCTCTAGGTCTCAGTTTTCTCGTCTGCAAAATGGGAAGATAATAGCATGTTTGGGGGCTTCAGGAGGGTTAGACGAGATGATCCATGGCAGGAGGGCTTTGCGCGGCGCCTGCACGTGGCCTTGGGAGGCTGGCTCTGCACTCGTCAGCAGGGAACCTTGGGCAAGGCTGGCCCTTACCTAAGCCACTGCCAGTTTCTTCTTGTCCAGAAAGCTGGCAGCAGGGCCCCAGCCTCGGGGCCTGGCCTGCCGTTCTTCAGGCCCTAGGAGAACCTGCACTCACCTCTCCTCTCTCGTGCTCATCAAAGGTATTCAGGAGTCTCCAGTGCCAAACGGTCACTCGCTCCCGGGCAGAGACTTCCTGCGGAAGCAGATGCGGGGCGACCTGTTCACGCAGCAGCAGCTGGAGGTGCTGGACCGTGTGTTCGAGAGGCAGCACTACTCCGACATCTTCACCACCACGGAGCCCATCAAGCCCGAGCAGGTACGCCCTCGACTCTCGCTGCCACGCCTGCCGCGGCCACACAGGCCTGGGTCGCCGTCCTGGCGGCGGGGGCAGCCAGCAGGTGCGGGTTAGAGCCCGCCAACCTCTCCTCAGAGGCGAGCTTTCTGCAGCTCTGGGCTGACCCTGGCCGATGACAGCATCCACGGGGTCGGGACAGCTCCTTGTGCGGCTGCCTGGGTCCGTCGGCCAGCCTGGGGGCATGTGTGACTTGCCCAGCCACTCTGCCGTTGCTGCGCTGTGCTTTCCCAGGGCTCTCACGGGGGCAGGGGGTGTAGGGGTCTTCTGGGCCACTTCTTGGGCCGCTGTCCTGTCTGTCAGTGTGCTGGCTGAAATACGCACTCACCCTGTGATCTGGGGCTCACCAGCTGTGAGCAAAGCCACGATGGTGCCCACGTGGAGCCCACTGTCAGCTCTCTCGTCACACTCTTAAAGACCAAGTCCAAGAGACTAGCAATGATGGTGGGTCTCCTTAGACAAACTCCCACCTGGGTCATTTGCACGGAGGAAAGGAAGCAGGAAGTCCCACCCCTGTTGAGCAGCCAGCAGTTGTTGCCTGAGGTGTGGACTTGGGCCAGAGGGGCCTCCAGTGAGAGGCTCTCAGGGCCCGAAGAGGTCCCTGCAGTGCCCAATTCAACTCAGGCCACTGTTTCCTGACGCAGTGCCTGTGCCAGGCCTTGGGTGGGCCGCCTTGCAGCCCCAGGTGACTCAGACACGCTTCCGGCCTGGTGGGGGAGCCAGAGAGCCCCTCTGAGCAGTAAGTACTGACCTCCTTCATGCTCATGGATGCAGGTTCCCCTAAGACCGTCCAAGAGCATGGAGACTGTGTGCTTGGCTGCGTAGACGGCCGGTGCTGCTGGGGATGCTGGGTGGTGAGGAGTGGGCAGAACCGCGGGGCCACCACTGCTGACCGGCTGGCTGTCTCTGAGCAGCTCCCGTGGGGCTCCTGCACGCCCTCCAGCCACTTCGTTTTCAGGTGGGGAACTGGAAGCCCAGAGAAGCAGAGACTCGTCTCGGGCCGCCCAGCCAGCCAGTGGTCTTCACAAACACTGATGAGTCTCTGTGTTGTGCCGGGCGTGGAGGCAGGCATGAGGGGGTTAACAACGGACAGGACAGGCTTTCACCTGCCCTTAGGGAGTCCCAGATGAATGGGAAAAAAATCACAATAAATACCCATTACCCAGAGAGCTGTGGGTTCCAGGTGTGTTGGTGCCAAGGAGGTGTTTGAGGTTCTCTGAGAGCCTAAAGCAGAGGCTGAGGCGGCCTGGAGGCCCCGGGACCTCCTAGGGGAAATGCATTTATGCTGAGACCTCAAGGGGTTGGCCAGAACAAGGAGCAGGAATCGGGGATAGAAGGGATGTGCCTGGCAGGAGGAATAGCAGGTGCTAAGGCCCTGGGGTGAAAAGAAACAAGAATGAGGCCTGGAGGGAGGGCCAGTGTGGCTGGGGCATAGGGAAGGGAGTAGGCGGTGATGCTGGGGTGATGGGCCTGGTTTTGCAGAGTGTGGCGTGGAGCCTGGTCTTTGTCCCACAGCCTGGGAAGGTGTGCTAGATGGAGCTGATGCCTGCACTGTGGGTCCTAAGCTGCTTCTGTGACAAGCAGGTGCTCCCGCCACTCAGAACCCCTGAGAGGTGGCGGCAGCCGCAGTTCATCAGATGCAGGACGGGGTCAGGGCGGCACTGGTTCTGGAAAGCCTCTTGGGCTACGTTTCCTTCAGGATCTGCGAGAGAACCGATCTAAGTGCTGTGAAGACTGCGTGATTTTCGGGCTTGTGTACAACCCTGAGGCAGGCTTCCAACCCTCTCAGGTTTTGTAGGCCCAGAGAGAGAACGGGGCTTGTCAGAGATCGCCTCTCGAGCAAGTGGCGAAGAACCAGAACCTGGCCTCCCAGCGCCGAGTCTCCCGCCTTTCTCTCCAGCCGTGATAGGCTTGGCACGGACATTCCGTGTTGGACACTCTGTGTCGTGTGCCTGTCGCGGAGAGTCAGGCCCTGAAGCCTGGGCAGAGAGCACAGGGCTTCCTAGGCGAACGGAGCCCGGAGCCATCCTTGCTCGGATGCTCCCCTGCGCTCACGCGGGGCAGTGCGGTGTGGACTTAGAAGGCACAGGACAAGACCCCAGAGGAAGGGTCCAGTCAGGGAGGCAGAGCCGCCTGGGTTGGCAGCATCAGGGGCGACAGCATGGCGGAGGCAGTGCTGAAGGACAGGTGAGATGGGCTCATGGAGGCCCGGGGCCCTGGATGGGAGGAGGCCTGGCTCAGAGTCCGGGGGGGCACTGTGTCCAGCAGTGTCCTTCAGAATGGTGCGCCGTGGCTGCAGGCCGCCCCCAGCTGTGTGGGCCTCGGGGGTGGGGGCGGGGGCCGCGCTAATGGCTGACTCAGGGCTTTCTGGGTAATCAGCTTCACCCCATAATGTGCTGTAATGAGGAGAGATGGCAGGTGAGGCTGCAGGACTGCCCTGCACGCTCACGGGCACTGGACTATGAATGACATGGCCCGCGCCCGCTTCCCACTCGCTCTGGACAAATGACGGCCTGAGCTGGGAGGGGACGTGCGTCAAGGGGACAGGTTCCTGAGCCCTGTCAGCTCGCTTATTCCGTGGCTGTGCTCCGCAGGCCCTAGAGTGGCAAGGCAGTGGCTCCTGGAAGGGACCTGGAGCTGCCGGCCGACCAGGAAGGCTGGCTGCCTGTTTGGCTGGGGATCAGGCCCAACTGTCCCAGTCTGTGTCTCTGGGGCCTGGTGTCCTGGGGCAAGGGCAGGGCACTTGGTGTCACATCTGCTCAGGAACCGATAGGAGAGGAAGAGCGTTTACTGGCCTTGGAGTTGGCTCTGCTTTTTCTGTAGCTCTCAGCTTGTGGGTGTGTGGTCGCCATCATGATGGTGGCGACACCAGTGATTCTTTGCCCTGTGCGCGGGAGTGTCCAGTTGCCACACCCAGACTCTCCTCGGGTCCTCAAATGAAATGTCTGCTAAGCAGCCGGCCGGGGTGGGTGAGCCCCATTTGACAGGTTTTTCTCACCCCCAGATTGTTTGCTCCATTTTCAGGCCCAGGGAGGTTCTGGGATTGTCAAGGCCGTAGGCTTGGACCTCGGGATGTGCATCCTCATCTTTTGCAGAAGGTCCCCCTGGAGGCGCTGCCTGCTCTGCAGCCCGAGTCTGCCTGCCCTCCCAGGACCTCAGAGCCTGGCGTGTCCCTCCGAAGCCCTCCTCCCCACGCCCCTGGGAAGGGCGACCCTCTGCAGGGTCAGACTGGGGACCCGCTGGTCACCGCTGTGGGCTCAGAGCCCTCTTGACCTTACTGCTGCTCCCACCACGATGCCCCCTGAGTGGGTGGGCCGGTGGGCCCAGACCCCGGCTGTTCAGGGAGGCTTGCCAAACCCTTTGGCCCACGTGGAAGGGGTTAAGGCAGACCTACTCCTGGGGCAATGAAACACTTCCTCTTCACAATGGTTATTGAAAAAGCAATTCTGTTTTCCCTACATGTGGAGTGAGTAAAAATCACCTCGGAGGAAGAGAAGATGGGGAAAAAAACAACTGCTGGTGGCGACTGCGTGTGCGTGTGTGTGTGCGCGTGTGCGTATGAGTGCGTGCATGTGCGTGTGCGTGCATGTGTGTGCGTGTTTCCCGCGGTGGAGTCTGTTTCAGGAAAACTCGTCCTGACGCCTGGGCAGGCACTGGCCACTGGCAGAGCGGGTCCCTCCTCCGGCCGCCACGCGCTGCCTGCCTGCCGTATTTACTCTCGGCAGACTATTAACCAACACCAGGCTATTAATCTGGCTTTTGAGCCTTCACTAAAGCCCATAAAAGCTCACAGTTGTCAAATGGAGTTCATTTTAATTTCCTTTCAATCACAGTAAATTATTCAGGTGATAAATCAGCTGGAGCAGCCTCCTGGCTGTAATAGAAACCCTAATTCCTGGCTAATTATCCAGCCCATTGCTGCCAACAGATCAATACGGGCGCAAAATGGAACGGGCCCAGGGCCCTCCCTCCCATCGGGCTGGAGACAGAGAGACAGCTGGGGAAGGGGGACGTGCTGCTGACCTCCCGGGAAGTTCAAAGGTCACAGGGGGTTAACCCGGGAGAAGGTCTGTCCCCAGTCTAACAGAGAAACCACTGGAAGTGCCTCCTGCTCTCCTAAGCCTCTCGGCCCCTGCAGGGTGGCACGTCTCCTGGCCAGTGGCTGAGCAGGGCGCTGGAACGCTGCTGGACAGCCTGATCCTGGTGAGGAGTGGGTGTGTGTTTCTGAGCATGCATGCGCCGGGTGAGCAAGGGCGGCCTGGACCCCAAGCGTGAGTCACAGAGGGGTCTCCTCTTCTTCCATGGTGGGTCTGTGTCCCACTGGGAGGCAGGTGTGCCTGGTTAGGAAGTGTGGGGGAAGGCTTCCTGGAGGAGGTGCCTTGAGGCATGGCAGAATCCAGATGTCTGGAGGTGGTGGAGAGGTGGATGGAGGGATGGAGGAACGCAGGTGTGGTGAGGAGCTGCTAGCGGCTCTGGGGTTGGAATGTGGGCTGGAGGAAAGAAGACTGGAGCAAGGCGGCTGCAGCAGTGGGCAGGGACCCAAACCCTAGAGAGCTGAAGTGGAGGTGGGAGACCTCCTTGGCCCTGGGGACAGTGTCCCCAGAGAGTTTGGGCTTTGTGGCCTGGACTTCTCTGGCTACCTTGGAAGCAGCCCTCGCTGGGGCCTTCTGCCTCTTCCCTGGCCCCTGCTACTGCTGTTGGATATCTTAACTTCCTGAAGCCTACCTCTGCGTCAGAGCCCCTGGTCATCTCCCGCAGCCTCCACCCCCTCATCCTCTTCACTGCCCCCATGTCCCTTTGCTTGCCCTGGAGAAGCTCTGGCTGTGGCCAGGCCTGACCCTCCTGCCCCACACTGCCTGGGCCCCGCCCATGTCCAAGGGGGTTGCTGACCTCCGCCCTCCTCTCCCAGGGCTGGTGTGTGCATGTGCGTATGGGCGCACGTGAACACCAGGGGACGGCTCTGA